CTTCTTCAATCCTCCTTTTCTCTCTCCCCCACTCCCTCACTGCCGTTGCTGCGCTAATTTCGTGTCGGCAATGACCCGTTTGCAAATTAGCCATTTTTAACAGAGCGATTATGGCTAATAATTATGGTATTACATTAATTTCTCCCCTACCACTTTCCATTTCCTTATACCTACGGGATTTTACTAGTGCATTTTCCGAAACGCTCTATAAAATTTTCAGAAATACACGCCGATCTACTTTTATTCCACTTACGTATTTTGATTGAACCGGTATCTGTGTATGTGATACTGGCCACCAAAAGTGTCGTACAAAGGCAACAACATAGCAATGCAAAATGTATCAGGACCAGCATCTGTCATTTTCCTAATCCGTGCTGTCGCTTTCTCTTACCATACGTTTTATTTTTATTATTTTTATTTTTTTTGGGGGGTATTAGCATAATAATTTGTTCTTCTTAATTGCCACTCTGACTATCATTCCCCCAAACAACACAATACGAAGCCCACACTAGAATACAAAATCACACCTCTCTCGCCTCTCTCCTCTGCTCTTCTTCTCTTCTCTCCCTCTATTATTCTTGTACAGAGTCAAAAGCTACTGAGGGGTGGTCAAGAATGGGAGAGGAGAAGAGACTCGTGAAGAGGCTAGTAAGTACGTTGTTTTTTTTTTCTTCTTTTCTTTTTTTTTTTTTGGGCTCTAATACTGTTTTCTATAGTGACTTCCTCTATAGATTCCGGGTGGGTTCTCTGATTTAATTGCTATGCTGATACTTTTGCTACAACTTTGCGCTGATTTGTTCAGTGTTCATCACTTGTTTCGAGCGTTTGCATATGTTAAACTGGTTGAATGGTTCAAATCATGGTTCATAAGGGTTGTTGTGCATTACTGGCTGTGCTAATTTTGTCGTGCTCAAGTCTTGTTCTGGAGTTTGAATCCGTCTTATAGTCAAGATCGGGCCGATCCCAGCTTCTAGTTCTAACTGCAGCTTCTTCAATTGGCTACATTGTCGTTTCATGGCCACAATTTACCTACTGGTGATAGATTCTCGGATGCTTTTTTTTTTTTGGTTTGCTGCCAAGGCTTTTTTGCAATTTTTTTCTTTTGGTTTATTTGGTTTAAACGAAGGACTCGTGTTTGTTTGCTAGTTGAACTGGTCTTGTACTCTTCTCTGTTAATATGAACTACTGTTGGGATATTCTGTTTTCGGCTAGTTTGGGCATACATTGCTCTCTTGCTCCGACGTGGTACTCGGTAACAAGGTCATCATCTAAACTTGGTAAATCGTATACCTGCGGCAATGGTGCTTGCTCCAACACTAAAATTTGTTTTATCTACTTCCTTGATTGTCTTCATCTCATTAAGTTCAGTCCTTTCTTTTTGATTTCCCTGCATATTCTTTTAATCTAGCACAGTGGAATACGCCTATGTATTTGTTGGACTTTCAAGCGGAGTTGTGAGTTTTTCCCAGTAAAATATGCAATAAAGGTATCAAATTTGGCTCCATCTCCAACTTCAGCTTATTAAAGAACATAACAAGATTAGAAAACCTTGCCTATCTTGGGCCTTTCAATTGCTCATTCATTATTTTACTTCTCGTGTCCATCAATTTTCTCATTTCAGATGTTATAGCTACTTCTATTTATTAGTGTTTTGTTTAGTTGGAGTCTTCAATTAAAGCGGACATGGTATAATGGAACAAGCTACTCATTGGTTTCACTCTTTGTAGGTAAAAGAAGATTGGATCAAAGATTCAATATGAAAAAGTTTCAAATTTTCTTTTACACATCCATTGAATCTAGTAGTTAAATGTTTTTGCTTCCATGAAACACTGGAAAGTGGTACTCATCAATCATAATTCATGCATGTTAGTTAACGACGTTTGACATATACGACCTTTAATGCTTTCCTTACTGGCTTTCTTCTCTTCAGGCAGTACTTCTTTTGCTTTTGGCTTTTTGTGATGCAACCAAGCACATTGGGACTCAATACGATGGAGAATGCCAGTTTATTAGGCCCCTCAAACCTCGGCCACACAGTGTGTCAGTCTTGGAATTCGGAGCAGTTGGGGATGGAAAAACATCAAATACTGTAGCATTCCAGAATGCTATATTTTATCTTAAGTCCTTTGCGGACAAGGGGGGTGCCCAACTCTATGTCCCCCGTGGTAGGTGGCTAACTGGATGCATTAATCTCACGAGCCACCTAACTCTATTCCTCGAACGAGAGGCTGTTATTCTTGGATCTCAGGTTGCCTTCTATTTCTACCTTGTTGAATGTAAAAAGCCACGTTGTTTGTCGATGTAAACCTTTACAGCTGGTATTCTAATTTGGCCACCTGTCTTAGATGAAACATGGTGCACAATTTAACATTCTAGAGTGATAGTCTTGCTGGGGTGGGAACCTGCACATATAGTCACTCCATGTAGAATTCCTCTAGCTAATTCGTTTTGTTGAATGTGAACTTATGGATGTTTACTTTTGTTGTTGCTTTAACTTGTTTTCTTGTGGTATTTGCAACACATTCTTTTTCAGCATTTCAAGTAAGTATACATGGCGAACTTAGATATCAAACCAAAGTTCAAAATTGTTCTCTTGTTAGTTTACTTCTCCTAACATTTAGTTTCACATTTGCTTATGTCGTGATAGGATCAATTACTTGCCTATAAACAAGGATAGTTTTCAAGTTTATACATTTGATATACATTTTAGTTTCTTATGGATTTTATTTTGTTCTTAGGATTATACTCACTGGGATATAGTTGACCCATTACCTTCGTATGGTCGAGCTATTGAAGTTTCAGGTGGAAGATATCGCAGCTTAATTAGTGGAAATAATTTGACTGATGTGGTGATTACAGGTATGAACATTTTTGTTTAATTTTATGCGTCAATTTATTAGGTGTATAGATTATCTTCTCCGTATTCTCATGCAAGTTTTATGTGCTTTTATTTGATACAGGCAACAATGGAACTATTGATGGTCAAGGTTCAATTTGGTGGGAGAAATTCAACTCCCACTTATTAAACTACAGTAGACCACATTTAGTAGAATTTGTTGGCTCTAATGATGTTGTTATTTCCAACTTGACCTTTTTAAATGCCCCTGCCTGGAATATACGCCCGGCATATTGCAGGTACCCTTGAATTCTTTACTTTTATAACTTTTTTTAGAGGAAAGCTAGAACATGAAACTTATAAGTTTCTAAAATATGATGCAGTAATGTGCTAGTTCAGAACATAACAGTTCATTCTCCTCCCGAGTCTCCATATACTAGTGGAATAGTCCCAGGTTTGTTATAAATTTATGTGCTACTTATAATCTTCTTACGCATAGTAAGTCTATCTCTATGTTTGTGACGATGTTCAATGAAACATAAATCTGCAATTCGAGTTTCAGATTCTTCAGAACATGTTTGTATTGAGAATAGCAACATTAGTATGGGTTATGATGCAATTACACTCAAGAGCGGTTGGGATGAGTATGGAATTGCCTATGGAAAGCCTACTACAAATGTTCATATCCGTGGGATCCGCTTGCAATCAGGCACAGGATCAGGTGTGGCTTTTGGAAGTGAGATGTCTGGAGGCATTTCAAACATACTAGTTGAGCATCTTGATATTCACAACTCGTTTGTTGGCATCGAGCTGAAGACCTCAATAGGGAGGGGTGGTTATATTAAATACATCTTGATATCAGATGTGATAATGGAAAATGTGCAGATAGGATTGAAAGCAACAGGGCAGTGTGATTCACATCCTGATGACAAATTTGATCCTCTTGCCTTGCCAACTATCAGTGCAATCACTTTTGAGGACATAAGAGGCACAAACATAACTGTGGCGGGAAGTTTCACTGGCATAAATGAATCTCCTTTCACTTCATTATGTCTTTCAAACATCTCTTTTTCTGTTACTTCTGATCCTTCTGCATCGTGGATTTGCTCTAGTGTGTCAGGATCATCTGATAATGTCTCACCTGAACCCTGTCCAGACCTCCAGGAAATATTTCCTAGTTCAACCACTTGCTTCTCCCAGCTATATTCAAAAAGTCAAGTTGCAATTTTGTGATATGTGTCAAAAACTACATTATCTCGTTCGATTCTGATTCTATGAGGGTGCAACTCCTCTGATTCTGGTGTATAATCTTCAAATAAGATGCGAGCTAGATACTTCGGTCTCATGCTTTGCTTGGTTAACATTGGTGTTCCAGTGAGCAAACTCTCCCAAGCGGTGTTACCTGTCAAATCTGTCTCCTCTTGTACAGCATCGATTTCTTCATTCACTTTGTAAGAAAAAGTTTTGGTAGTGCAGTACGGTTCAGATACATTGTGGTCTAGTGTTATTTCATTTTCATTTTGTCATTATTTTACATTGTAAAGTTCTGCACGGGAGACTAGTTCAAGATTGGTTTTGTCCAGATGGATAAAAAAGGGGCATTATAGAGTGGAGTGATTGTTTTTTCCAAATAAAAGTTTCTTGTTATATCTGATTGAATTACAGGCCAACGTGACAACCGAATAGAGTTATGGCAACTTGCTAAATAGTTCTTGAAGTCTACTAACATTTTAATCTTTACAACTATAACCTTCTATTATTGTTTGTGCATTTTGGTGTCTCGTTTTTAGTGCGAGTCCGAAAGGGCTAAGACACAGCGCATGCGTGCCTGGGCCTTTCTTCCCGACAAATTTCAAGCGCTTCATGGCCCACTGGAAGTTTCTCATTTGCAATATTTTGTTTGTTATGGCGCACATCGTCCGAGTGTAGGGTACATTCCTCTATCGTATCACCTCCTCACGTCTATGATGGGTAGTAGTAGTACATTGTTTTTGGGAGCTCAAGGAAATTGGTTAATCAAAATAGACTAAGACATGAGAATTCCGAAACGAGGCAGCCAAATGCCCCTGCAGCCTTCTAACAAAACCCGCGATAATTATTCAAACCGTGACATAATTTCAACCCTTCAAAAACACGCCATTTCCCCCAATGGATGCTAAAAATGAACGAACCTCATCTCTGCAGCGAGATTATCATTGGAAAACATTATTATTGTCATCGCACAATTCACACCCAACGCCGACGGGATCAATCAGATGACAAATCTAAGGTAACATTCCTGAATCCGGATGCTCGCAAGGCTTGCTTTTTGTCGAGCACCGAAAAAAAAAAGAAAAAAAGAAGAAAAGACAACGGTTTTTCTCATCGCACTGTTTTAGTGGTCTTTTTTAACACACTCTTAATCCCTTCGTAGGTGGAGACCTTGATCAGGTATGCAGCAACTGCATTTAGATCCACGTTGCACCATCTCATGCAGACACACAATGGTTCATACATCTCGTGCCTTTGCTAATTCCCTGTGCCGAAATAAAAAAGCGCACCAAGAAAAAAAAAAAAATGGTTGTTTCTCTCTGGTTCGCACAGAAACGGAAACACAGATAACAAGAAAAAACGGGAGGATCATAACATTTATCACAATGTTGCAGCTGATTGAGGTAAAAGCTGAACCCAGGCAAATTCTTCCTTGTAAACAACTCTATTCTCACACGAGGCTTCGCACGTATACACCACAATAGTTGCCCAATCAAGAGAATCTGCATGATTTTCAATTCCAAAGTAATATAGTAGTTGCGGCAATACCTGTTAACCAAGGGAAAAGATAAGATCATAGTTTAAAGGCAGGAATTTTCAGGTATGGCATAATTGGACAGGTAAAACGTCTACATATGCAACAGGCACCAAAATTAATGGGCCAGTGATCGAGCAGCTATAGAGCTTTCTGCTGAGGAAAAGCATATGCATAGCTGAAATAAAGCACTGCACCTGGAATTCACAAGCTCGAGGCCCACCACAACAGTTGCACCTTGGAATATCCAATTTTGATGGCCGGCCACTTGATATGGGCCATAGCGGTTTGGTTTTTGCCAGTCTATAGTACCTGTTTCACAACAAAATCTGAACTTCAGATGCAATGACACCCCTCTTGGAAGTGAGAAAATTTGATAGAGCAAGATATGGGAAATTTTTCTTATTATCAAAAAAAGAAATAAGAGATGGAAAATTTTCCTAAATTTTTTTGCCACCCCACTTGAGCCATATGATTGACCTATAAATGTTTTTGTTCCACTTCCCATGGATATGTATATGCTTAGAAATAAATTCATGTTTATTAACCTCAATACTTGCTCAGGTTCACGGGATATTCGCTCTTGAAAAGCTGCCCAAGATCTTTTGTCACCACCCACCTAGTCAGGAGCAATGAAAAGGAGGCTATATAAGATCATTCACCGATCCATAACACCACATTACCTAAACAACAACACTAACCTCAAAGGTGTCTAGTAATGACTTGACTTCATCCATTTGGCTTTGTGAAACCAATGACTTATCAAATCCATCATACTCAGACTTTTTATCTCGACATTCATCTTCATTTACAATCTCAAATTGTGGCCACAGGTGATTGCTAGCAACTGCATGCAATGGGAAACTCTATGAGATGTGTATATCATTTCAAACAAGTAAAATGAAATTCACATATCACAACGCGCACATTTCACACCATCAGGTACTACAAGTCCTGCAAGCTAAAGCCTCCAATAGGATAACGAAAGTGTGGTTATACCATTTTATGACTCTGGCTTATAATATTTTAAGCCAATAAGTACCTTCTAATAACAGACTCTACCTGGGACTTGTTTTCAGACTCAATTTAACTCGATGAGGAAGCAAATGGCTTGACCCAGACATTTTAAAATCACATCAGGACCTCTTCTGCAGTACAAGTCAATATACTTCATGATCCAGGGGCAACCAACAAGACGTTTAGTTGTAATTATTCTTCTCACCTTTTTGTGTTTCTGCAGGTAAGTCACTAATGGTTGATGCAGAAGCCACTGGTGCCATATAGGGCTGTCGGCACTCAATTTTATGACCTGAACGCCAGTGTGCAGTCTGGATATAGTCGGTCCACGAAGAGGCGACTAGTGTTAAAACACAAATCCAAAAGAGTTCAAAGATCAAAAAGGAGTAAATCTTCGTGTCCAAATCACCTGGTGTTTCTCAGAGCAGTAACGAGCTATTCTGCAATTACTACAAATTTTATCTCCTCTCCATGTACCACACCAGCTACAGAGTATGGCTGAGACAAAACAATATCTCAACATCAGAGTCAAGAAATAAAATGCAACTAGAATGGATTGGATGTTTCTTGCACACCATAGTAAAACATAACCACAAAGGAAATTCTCTTCTAGCTCTATGCACAATAAACGTATAGCATTTAGTAAATGAACATATATGTAGCATAAATGTATTGCATTTAACAAATGAACATATATGCACTCATTCTTGGAGCAGGAAGTCCCATTAATATCTAAATGATATGATCTTGCCTTTGTTAATAAAACAGAAGCTGCACTCCAACATTTACATGAACAGGGATAAAACTAAAAGATAAACACAATTAAAGCTGAGCATGTAAGGCCCACTCTGCCGCTCCCCTCCGCCAGGAAAAGTACTTCATAAATCATCATTAGGAGGAATAAAACAATAAAGGACTTTTGCAGGAATGAGCTAATGACTCGCATATTTTGACCAGAAGAGTTACCAATCTATCTTCATTGTAGCCCCAGGAAGAAGCAAACAGAAGTTATGACTAACCTCCATTTCTAGTAGGTCTGTCACTACCATCATGTCTTGGAGGCTCACTAGAGTAAAACGAGTTGAAACGAGGCAATTGGCAACGGAAGACCTTCACACTGCAGAAAGCCACCATTTTGTGAAGAGAGGACAATTTAATAGATGTATTATACGAAAATTCTTCAGAATAACATCATCCTTTTTTGCTGTTGTTTGTGTTTTTTTGGGGGGGGGGGGGGGGGGGGGGCGGGGAGACCGAAGGTACCTTCGAAATGCCTTCTCGGGCTGCCGTTTCCATTGATCATGTTGGTCTTTAAGAAGACAAGACATAGATGGACAAATGAAAACAAATAAGGTGCGGTGGAATGTTGACTCCTTGTGTAAAAGAGGTGCATAAACCTGAGTACAAAGAAAAACAATAATATCAAGAGATTATCTACTTTTGGCGGTCTAACGGCATTCTTAAATTTGCAGAAGTGAGGAACATAAATTGAGAAATATGGATACCTGAAGCAGAAACTGCAAAGGTTGGGCGCAAAAGTCACAAAGGCAAGACCTCCCGGTGGGTAAACTTGTCGGATCCAACCATGCCTGCATTTCAACAGGTAATTGCTTTATCCCGTAATCAAACAATAAAATATTGGCAAATTTTGCATATAAACAAAATCAAAACGGTAATTTGAGAAAGTTGTTTTGTGTTAGATATTAGTATCAAGTAATGGTAGTTTTGAACAACATACAGGAGTACCACCAGCTACACTAGCAAACAACTCCCGAGATAGCGACCACGAATGTTTAGGGCTCTCCACAAAGCCCAAGGACACCGGCTCTTCACCTTCCTCCTCCTCCTCCTCCTCGTCGTCCTCCTCCTCATAAACATCATCAACCATGGGAGCATCCTCTTCGTCTTCTTCCTCGTCAAGACTGGTGATTTTCAGAGTCCTTAGTTTCTCTGAAGGATCGCCGCTGCTGTTGTCATACTCTCCTTCCGACATACTCTGCACAAATTTGATTGGAGAAAGCTGAAACGTCTCTCTCTCTCTCTCCCCTCTCCTAGATGAAGAGAACTGCAAAGGTGGTTAATTTTGCTACAACAGATTCTGAACGACGAAGCTAAGTTATCTCTCAATTGTCCCACTGTTTTACAGGCAAGTTAAAGCCCCGTACCGGAACCCTTTATCCCGTGCCGGCTTGACTAAGACAAATGAGCCGATGTTTGGTTTCTGTGTTGCTGGTCAAGGCCCGAGACAGGGTATAGAGTAATTGAACCGGGGGTGGGGATGGAGTTCGCAGCTGCACCGCAGTAAGAAGAGGTTTATGTGAAATATGGGCCTCGAAGGGTTTTTCCTCGCAACAAGAACCGCGGAAACGACGACGTGGCATATCATCCTGACGGACGGATTATGCTGATTTTTATTCCCCAAATGAACCAGAAAAAGAAAGCAAAAGAAAAATGAAATAAAATAAGACAGAGAGAGAGAGAGAGAGAGAAGGCGTGACACGGTGTGTTCGTACGTTCACGCCTTCTTTGAGTATTGTTTTCTAATGGATTTCAACCAAGCAAACCATAAGGTAGATTTTTTTTTTTTGGAGTAAACCATGAGGCAGAGTTGATGGCTTTTCTGGTCCTTTTCTTTTTATAATTCGTGAGGGAAATTTTGGGAAGCAAGAGCTCATCCATTCGACATGGCCTGAGTTTGCGTCTTTACGTGACTACGTTCTGAGTGTTCTTTCAACTCAATTCAAATAAATTTATTGTCTTGTTTACCAATTGTTGTTACACATATCAGCTTGTGAGAACAGGAAATATCATTGTGATTTCAATCTTTTTTCTGGGTAAACCCAGAGGCTTTAAGCTCTTGCAATTTATAGGCAAAACTAGTAAATTAAATTGGTGTTTTTTCCCCAATTTTTTTTTTATTTTAACACCATATGTGATTGGGCATTTTAATGTCAATTTGACTTTGTGTATAAAAGGATTTTTTTTATGTGGTAATTATTCAAAAATGAAACTCTTTTTGAATTATTATGGAATAAAATTCAAAAATTATTTCTCTTTTGATCATTTCTTCTATTTTTAAATTCCCGCTTGTGAGTTAAGGTTGATTTATTACCGATATCTCCACAAGTAATGCTGGGTTCTCACATCCATGTTCCATATATATCATCGAACTCGAGCCGGTTCGTGAGCTAATTAGTTCAATATTTTTAAACTCGAATTCGACTTGATCAGCTCGAACTCAACACATCCATGTTCCAAATATATAATTGAACTCAAGCCGATTCGCGAACTAATGAGTTCAATATTTTTAAACTCAAATTTGACTTGATCAGCTCGAGCTCGAACTCTCGAGTAGTTCGATTTATTTGCAGCCCTAATTGCAACAACAAACAACTGTTAAAGTTCTGCCAATACCGATTGCCGTTGAGGGATTTTTTATTTAGATTGTCATTGCAATTCGGTAGTGTATACCAAACGGGTGGTTAATATATTAGAGCAATGTCCAATGAGTGCACGGGGCATGGATTTAGTAGGAAGGGGTGTGGATTTAGCCCCTCCCAAAAATTTAATCCAACTATCTCATGTGCAGGAATTTTAAGTCAGGCGTCAGGACTCATTCCTCTTCTGCTGCATCTGGACATTACTGTTCCCTTTATAGGAGAGTCGATCCTAGTGAAGCACTGATGCAAGTTAGCATTGCAAACACTGCAAACAAAAGCTGAAAACTAGGATGGGGCAGCAGAATCTGAAAATTGCTATCTACTTTTCTGCTTCCAACAGCTGGTATTCATTGTTCCATTTTTCTTTGATCTTGTACACAATGTATAGTGAATTAAGCAAGCAACTGGAATTATTGCTGCACTAATGTACATAGTGAAGGTAGCCTCAGAAATATGAAAGAAAGGAAAATTTCAATAAAACTCTCTTCTCTCTCAAAACACACAAACAATTGAAAAAAAATAAAATAAAAAATCATGAATTAGATATTTGCAAATCACAAGGGCCTCAAACACCTTCGTTACTTCCTCGTCCCATTCTTTCTCTTCACTTCACGAGCACCCGCCTGCCTCCCATTCTGTAAAGGTGGGTGACTAAGCCCATTACTCATTTTTCGTGATGGTGAAGGGCCTAGTTTTGGAACCAAGCTCCTGTCACACGAAATCATCAAAGAATTTAAGATTAGCAGTCTGGAAACTAGTAATATCATTTGGTTTTGGTAATAAGGTCAGACAAATACCTTAAGTTTGAGTTGTTCGCCTGCCTTGGATTTTGTTTCTGGATCCTTGTTCCACTTTCACTGGTGAAACTATTCAGTCTTGAATGATTTAACTGCCAAAGCAAATCTGGCTCAGATGAATCACTAGTTGCAGCATCAAGCTCGTCCAAATCATCAGTAGCAGCAACCTCTAACCGACCGTTTCCTTGAAGCAATTTATAAGCTTTATCCGAATACAAACCAGAAGAATTTGAAAGATATTTCTGGTAAAAATCATTGGTGCCATTTTCTTCCCAGCACTCTAATGGGCTATCAGCCCCCTTTATAGGATCTTGCTTGTTTACCATGACCTTGTCCACCCATTCGCCTGAGCCCATTTCTTTATCATCCTCCATGTGGTCTACACGACTATCAGTGACTGGGGGCCAGGGAGGAGAATTTCCCAGTAGCTCGTCAAGATCAAAGCTTTGCTTTTTTTGCCTTAATGCCGAATTGCTACAAACCTGTAAACGTATCAGAAGAATGACTTATCAGGATTAATAAAAACCTGAATGAGTAAAGAAGAAAATTTAAGACTACCAGTGGATGGAAAAGTATATTCCAGATTTGATCCTAACTCATAGTCTGTAGTTATATGGAACTAATTTTTGGAAATGTTTGTTGGAGGCCATGGCCCCAGGTAACACTGTTACTTTCAAACAATGCCAGAGATGAATAATTATCTAGACGGAGATGCCTAACTGTAATTGTTGATGCATACTTTAGTACATCACTGCATAGTGAACATTAGCTGCTTACTTGTTCTCACAGCAGAGGGCAACAAGCCAAGAATTGCAACAATGGCTGGAAAGAGAAAGTGAATGCAACATAATGGTCCAAAAACATTACCTCTATATTGCCCACATCCCCCATAGGTTTCCTCTGGCTGTTATAATTGGTTGACATGTCTCTTTCTTGAGGCCGCATAGCATATGGACTACTAGATATCTTTAGCTGCTTCATCTCTGTATCCCCTTCTTTCTGTGCTAATGCAGCCTTCAGGCTGGCAATCTGAAAACACACCCCTGTCAGCACAACCATGTTGTGGAGGAAGTTTAACATTCAACGAGAAAATGGAAGTAACCTGTTCTTTAAGATCTTTTACATCAGCAGAATCTCTGTTCACCCGTGCAGCACCAAGTTCAACAGTAGCTACACGCTCTGCAAATTTGAGTGTACTAATTGTCTCCCCTATGGCATCAGGCTCAGGGCTTATGTGAACAAACATTAGTGTCTTCGCCTGTCCTCCTAAAAAAACCCATCCCCAGAACCAGAGTTACATTATAGGAATAAAAGATGAAACAATTACAGGCTTGATCATTTTCTGTCTGCCCTTACCAAGTGAGTCTTGGAGCAACTGGGTGAGTTTACTGTTTCGGTAAGGGATATGCACATTCTTTTGAGCAAGGGAAGAGATCACATCACCCAAAGCAGAAAGTGATTTGTTGATATGTTGTGCCTCTTTTAGTCTATCTCCAGTCACTTCAGATTTGTCCACTCTCTCACTTCCTGCCAAGTCAACCAAATGCATGCAGCCACGGAGAATGTTTCCAGCAGTCAAGTCCCTTCCTTGGACATGAACCGTTAAGCAACTACAAAAATTTTGTTAGGAAGGGTCAGCATTTAGCAAATCAACTACAGAGCATGTAAGGTGGCAATGAATTTACACCTGTGAGAGCGGCTACTACGGTCATTCAGTGCCGTTGCACCCACTGCACGGTTCCTTTGTCCCAGGTTCATCAAATCAATAACATCGTAAGTTGATGTTACATGAACCAGGCTTGCCTCAGGAACATTTAGTCCTGTCTGGGAATTGTTTCGAATTTCTAATGTAATCAAAGTTAATGAAAACTATTTGAAATGAATATGAAAACCTTAGTCTGAACCTGGAGAGAATGCAATTCAGATACCAATGCATGAGGAAATGAACATATATTGCTCCAGTTGTCAAGGACTGCAAGTATAATTAAACTGTACTAGTACACGGATATTATACAAAGGATATCTTTTGTTAATTCCATCAGTAACCAAGAGATCCCTAACTTGCTCATTATATATCTCGATCATCTGAACGGATACATCATAGTAGAAAGTATCCCTTCTTTGTTCAGCAAGAAGGAATAAATCACCCAATGCCCTGTAATTTACCCCTTGATTTTCCTCTGTCAAATCTTTAGGACCGCTCTGAAAGGAAAAGAGGAAAATCACATAGTTTCATGCTTCTGCACGCCCAACAATGAGGAGAAACATTTATATGTTGGTTGCCATACCATGGTGTAAGTTTTCCCTGATCCTGTTTGCCCATAAGCAAATATACAAACATTGTATCCATCAAGAACTGATCTAATCAGTGGCTGAGTATCTGAAAAGACTTCCTCTGCCACAAACCAATAGCAAAATGAGCTGTTAGCAGAGCTGAAAATTTCATTAAAAATGTTAACAAAAAAAAAAAGCCCTTATTCTAGTAAAGTAAAACCTTGAGTGGCTGAGGGCCCAAACACTTTATTGAAATTAAAAGACCTCCTCCCTTTTCCATGCTTTGCTGGTGTATTTATTGTAATAGTTCCTTCTTCTATATGATCAACAGTGCTAATATGATTGTTTTGTCGTGGCAAGAATGGTCTCACTCGACAGTAGACCCTGATGCTTCCTGGTTGAACAAGTAAAAGCTAACCTTCATATGGTTATTGGCCTAAATGTGATTTTTTTTTTACCTGAATGTCATTGCAACGACTAGGAGATTTATTGAAAATTTAAAATTTTACCCTTAAGGTCTTGCACTTGGTTGTAAAGTCTGCGGTTTTCTTCGAGAACTCTATGATAACCAGAAGCAGCATGAGCTAGCCCATGAATGTGCAGGCCTACATAAAACCACCAAGTAGAAACATGAGCTAAGCCGCAAATAATGTACGCCTGAAAGAGTTTGCCTTTACCACCACCACACCCCCCCCCCCCTTTATCCAAATCCCGCAAGAAGTACAAACTTTGAGAAGTTACATTGGCCAAACAGAACCAGGATAAAAATTCACCTACCAAGATTTTGAATTTCCTCATGAAACTTGGACTGCATGAACTGCATCCCAGCTTTTGTTGTAGAAAGAGTTTGCTTTAGCTCCTAGAAGAAAATGAACAAAAGATAAC